ATATATATAGATATATATATATATATAAAATATATATTTATATATATTTATTTATGTATGTATGTATATATATATTTACACATATGTATTGTATGTAATATGTATAGTATGTATGATGTATATACCCTCAATTTTTCTAATGAGTTGTAGAGGCTGTAGGGTAAATATACTGGATGTAGGATTTTTGCATTTTGATTGTATGTGCTCTTTATACTTAGGACCAGGAGGTGTTTGAGATTGTCGACTTCACAACTGCTTCCGAATGGGAAAGGTTCATTGCTGCAGTTGAGGAGGCGGTTCACGAATGGCACTTGGCTGGGGAAAGGCGTCTGCCTCCTCTAACAAAAGGACAATTAGCAACTGCAAAATGGAGTGAAAAAACTGTTGTAGTTAAGTTTGCTGGTAAGATATTTGCAAATTAATCAATTGATTATGAAGAGAAGATGTTGGGCTAGGTGATTTGAAGACAAAACCTATCAGTTTTCTAATAACTGTTTGTTATGAAGAGCTTAAAGGTAGCTCTTTGAACTTATTCATGTATGTTTACATTTATATAGACTACCTTCTGTCTTTCTTTCCAGATTTTCCATTCAATATGACTCACCACAGTATCCTTAATGAATGTGCAGACTCCCCACCAGATGAGTCAGAACCTAGCTCGGGTGTGTCAGCAAACCTTGAACCTAAACCTGAAGTTTGATATCAATATTCATGCAAATTTATATGAAAGACAATCTTGAAAATGGCACTTACCTCTTATGACCATTTTCTAGAATATGAAAATGAGGAAGAGACTGAGAGGCTACCTCAAGCTTTGGATGACCTAATGAACAGAGAAAATGATTTCCCTGCACGAGCCCACTGCCTGGTACGCTGGTATGGCCTGAGGGAGTTTGTCACCCTTACACCAGCCAACCCTAATCATCCCATCTTGAGTCCTTCGAAAGCAAAGCTTCTGCTATCATCTCTGACCATAGTTGCAAACAACACCAACTGGTGAGAAAATAGGTTTAGCTAGAATGGTTCGTGATTTGTATTCTTTGAGATTATCTGTATATTTGGTACTGAAATTATTGTATATGTGTTTTTTTCACCAATAGTCAAGTTCCGCTATTTGTGCAAGTTCTACGCCTGAGTGAGAAGATGTACCTAGGCTTGGGCCTTGGTGCTGGGGTACGAACTGACTATAATATGGTCCATATGCGTTACCCATCTCGGCAGTGTACACATCTTGCAGGTGAATCATTATATATTTTGCTGTGAATTAGTTTAGATGGTTAAAATTTGCATTTGACAAGCCTACTTGAATTATTAGTAATCTTATTCAAGGTGCTATTAGATGTATACAGATTTATGGCTCACGATTTCTTTTACTTTTTGCTACTTGTTTTTGTATAAAAACTATATTGTTATTGCAGCATGCCAGTGTATAAAGTGGCTGTAAAATATCATAACCAATAAAAAAGAGGTAATCAAAGCCAGCATTCTTGATGCATGTGCAGTAATACAAGCTATAGAAATATCTCAAATAGCAAATAATGCAAAGAGAAAATAGGAATACTCAAAAAATATGTTATGATTTGAAACTAAAAAAAAGAAGAAAAAAAAAAAAAAAACTTCCAGAGTAAAGCTTGCATATCTGACAGTCATCTCATTCTCTGCCAGGGTTGTTGGATGTGTTTCGGAGCAAACTGCAGTGCACAGTTACTTCCCCTCCTGTCTTGGTGTCTGTTAGGTTTACATACATTCTCTCAGAGTGGCCTCACACACTGTGGACACAGCAGCCTCCAGACTTTGACGCAACCCTCACAGAAGTTGGTTTTTCTGACCTAGGGAAGCTGCCATTTGGTGCTCTGAGTGATCCTGTGAGGTAAGGCTTAGATGGAAACGAGTGTTGATATGAAGGTGTAGAGGAGTAATTGCAGTTGCATTTTTATTTCTGATTATATTGATTTTGAAATTATCATATGAGGAGCTTGATGGTGCTCTAACCATCACTTGGGGAAAATAATTATTTATTTTCTAATTAAAATTTTTGATATGATAAGTTCCTTCGTGATCTATCAATCAGTGTTTTATTGTTCATTTTATTTCTTAACTTTGTATGATTGTATTATTTAAATGAATGAATTATTTAACTAATAGCAATGATTTTTCCTCAGTGAATTGCACTTGTCTGCCACATGGCCATGCGTAAGTGAAGATATTCTGGTAGACAGTGATGTATACAGCGACCTTGACCCAGGATCTGCCCCGCTGTGGACAACAAGATTAATCACTTCATCGTCTCCTCCATGTCTCCTAACAGAGTACCTCACTGAATTCTTACATGTTTGTCGCAACAAACAGTCTGTAACACAGATTCTGGGACCAGATTTTAATCCAGAAGCTGAGGGTAAGGGTAATGGTAGGGATAACCAGCAAACTCACAGGTGAAAAGATACAGATATTTAGAATTTCACACCTGAAGAAAATGGGAGAACTTGACCATAGAAGATCATTTTTAATTTATAGTATTGAAATTTCTGCATTGTGTGTTTAAGATAAAAAGATATTACATGCACACCAAGATGTTTATGACAAAAAATGTTTTTCATAGTTGAAAGTCTTTTTTAGATTTGATATATGTGCTTTAAAATCTAAAAAGAATGATGTTAGTTTTATAGTTCTTGGATTGTAGACTGAAAATATTATCAAAGAAAATACCCCCCAAACAGTATAAAGACCCTTATTATTATTACAGGATAAACTATTAAACTAGATTGCCCTTTACAGAAGCGGTGCAGTTTTCCTCAGCGCTTGATCGCCTGACAGAGCACAGAGTTCCGACCATTTCAAAGATGGTCAGCAGTGTGCGTCCAGGCCAGAAGATCACGAGACAGGCAACAAACACTCCACCGGGAGATAGTGGCCCTATTCCAAAAGACATCCTTATTCTCATCCTGAATTATCTCTTTCCTGATGCTGAAGGTGAAGAGCCCACTGCTCCTTATCCAAGCACGCTCAACCAGGTGCCAGAGTGGGAGGGAGGGGATGGGAATGCTGGTGAGCACCCACTCAAGGTGAGCATGGAATACATTGTTAACAAGTTTGTTTATACTGAATTCTAGTCCTCTTACTTTGTTAAATTTGCTTTTATTCATTATTTGAAAGAATTTATTCCACAACAAGTTGGTAATTGAGAAATATCCTTTACTTTTTTACTATAAAACTGTGATCTCCAGACTTTTAACATGTATTTTTTTCAGACTCTCCTTTGTAACATGAAGAGCAGTGGTGTTGATGGATTGGTGTGGCGTTTGGCTATTGTTATGTGTCATGCAATTCATTCCCTTGGAGGGCTTCCAGCTGCTGCTCACCTGTGGCATGAGGTGATCATGGAACTGCGATTTCGTTGGGACAATGCCATAACCATTCCAGGGGTCAGCAGTGGATCCCCAGACCTGTCATCCACTCTTTTCCATCAGAAACTTCAGATGTTGAATTGCTGTATAGTTAGAAGAAGGGCCAGGGAACAGAGTCCTAAGAGTGGTATGTGTATTTTTGTTGACTTTTCAAATTCAGAATTTCTTCTGAATGTTGTAATAAATATTGGTAGATAATTGTGCAGGAAAGGATTTCTGTATTCTTGTTATAATTTCATTATCAACTAAATTGACCTCAAATGTTTCAGGTAATGATATTTCTGAAGAAGATGATGAATTTTATGAGTGTGAAGAAGAAATGGATGAAGATGAGAAAGGAAATGGAAGTCGGCATGCCTGGGACAAGCCAGAAGGCCGTCTGAAGCGATGTGGACAGCTTCGGCTCTTTGAGACTAATGAGCCACTGTATATTCCAATCACCCAAGAGCCAGCGCCCATGACTGAAGACCGGCTGGAAGAACATGCTGATGTACTCTTACGTCTTGGTACAGACACAGTCGGCTCACAGCTGCGGGCACGGATGATGTCAGCTTCCCTCCTCTCAGACATGGAATCATTCAAGGTAGCTATGGGGGATAGTTGAAAAACAGTATTTTAAATAGTATTGAAATATTGCAGAGGAATTTTTGAAAATTATATGAAAATACCAAAGAGCATGAATATTACTATAATGACATAAGATGTTTGTTATGATTAAATTTTTTATGTGTTTATACAGGCAGCCAATCCTGGGTCAGTCCTTGAGGACTTTGTGAGATGGTATTCACCTCGAGACTGGATAGAGGAGCCTTCCTCAGACCCTAACAAGCCTCCCCAAGGAAGTCTTAGTACTCGTATGCAAATTCCTGGTAACATGTGGCAAGAAGTAAGATGATAATATTTATTCATTTAGTGAACTTTATTAACATTATACTTTTTATGTTAGTGGTGTTATTAACTCTTTCATTTGAGTCACAATCAGTGAATGCCACAAGTAGATATATCCACCAAGGTTTAACTATGGGCCACAAAAAGTGGTTTGTCATGCTTGATAAGGCTAACTCTCTTGCAAGTCAAGCAAAACTTAATGCCAACTCAGTATATGATGCCAACTGTGCCCACAGATGGCATCATAAACTAGTAATCAGCTGATGGGGTTGCTTTTTACATGATGAAGTGAGGGAGATGGCAATGTGTTGGAGGTATTGCTGTTAAAGTGCAGAAGAAGTATTAGAAGAATGATGCAGTGTTGGTCCATTGTTGAAAGACTAATTAAGAGTTGCAGCAATGTTGGGAGGAAAGACAAAGTGTTGGGGCTTTGTTAAAAGAATGGTATAATGTTGGAGTAATGATGGGGTATTACATTGAATCAGACAACTGTATATCTTATAAATTTATAATGAATATGTAAATCTAAGGTATCCTAGCAATAGTTTTAATGTAACAGAGGAATTTTTTCTTTTCTTTTTTTTTTGCATATGGGACAGAAAAAAGAGAAATATCAAGGCAGGTCAGTTGTACAAGAAGAGCAAGAGATGTTGATCCTTTGATTTTCTTTTCCTTTTTTTTCTCAGAAATCCTTTTATTGAAAGAAAGCCTCTGTAATGGACATGACATAATTTTTTTCACTAATTTTATTACAATGTGAGATTCCAAGAATTTCTGTGTAACTGATAAGGAAAAAGTAATGCAGTAACAGACAGTTATTGATTACATTTATTGGTGTACAGTTGACTTGAAAATGAGAACTTGATAATAATTTCTATGATGTCCGAAGCATAAATGTGTTAACGGTGAATACTGTATATCCATTTGTGACATTGAAAGGGTTAGGGCTTTTTTATTATTTTGATCATTATTTTGATTATTTTTTTCTTATTAAGATTGCTTTAGAGCTTTGTTTGAACATTCTCGTTAGGTATGGAGTAGTGCAAAACCAGTTCCAGCCAGGAGACAGAAAAGGCTCTTTGATGACACCCGTGAAGCAGAACAAGTGCTCCATTGGCTGGGCTCAATGGGACCAGGTGCCTTGTGCGGCCATCTACAGCCAACAATTCTCCATGCATCTCTATGCCGCCTGGCTGAGGAAAAATTATTGTACTCCCTGCCGGCACCTAGCACCCTGCCACAGCCACTACACTGTAATTCATTGGCTGCAATTTTGGAGATGGTTGCTCAGCGGATTGTCAGGCTTTCCAGACAACCTCCTGATACAAATAAGTAAGATTTTGCTTTCAAGGTTTTTTGTTTCTCATTCTTAATGAATTAGATTTAAAGACGTGATAGTAATTGTTAGTGTTTAGCATCAATAGCCATTTTTGTTCATCAACTTTCTGTAGATGTGATGTACACAGAAGATTGTAGGTGATTTTAGGTGAAATCTCAGCTGATTGTTTATTTGATATTCCAATATATTGAAATATAACTTAAAATTCAACTGTAACTTTATCTCTTTGTTTATGGGAGAGGTTGTGATATGGAGACAGTTGTAGCCCTCTATCTTTAAGACAAAAAAAATTAATGTAGGAAGTATTGTCATCATAAAAGATAAGAGTGCCAGAGGCCCTAGAGCATCTTAAAGGATGTCTAAAATGACCTAGTGACAATGTTATAAATGTCAGCCTACTTTTTCTTGAAGGTACCAGGAAGTTGTTGATCAGATGGCTGAGGTTGAGGGAAGCATAGCAAGAGCACAGAGTGTGAGACACAAGCTGCTTGGAGATTCCACAGGATCAACAGTCGGAGGAACTTCACCGCTTGAGGACCTGGTATTCCGACTACTGGACTCGCCAGAGGTTACTTTAGAAGGAGGACCTAGGGGTCCAGCAGCAGCCGTCATCAGGAAACTGTTCCAGGAAGCGCAAAGGGTATGATCACTCTCCTTACTATATTTTACTTTCTGAAATATATTTTGAAATCATCAAATATTTTGAGATTTACAAATTAACATTTTGAAAAATTTGCTTATTTTTTTAGTGTAAGTAATTGAGGTGATAGGACTCTATAGGGCTATTAGTGATCAGTATTAGATTTTTGTCATTTTATTTTTTCTTTTCTCTATACTTTCATTAGGCTTCGATGCTTGTTGACGATTCACCTCTAGATACAACAAACAGCCATGATGACCGACGATCATCTGTGAATTCAACTCATGGTGGCCCAGCAAGTGAACTTGGGCGGCCAGCTGGCCGCGAGTACCTGTTGCGCACCCTAGTTCCAGCTCCTACAGCATATTCCCGTCCAGTTCCTCACAGAATGTTTGTTGTTCTCTCACCAAGTGAATTTCGAATGACTGGGGCCTTTTCAGAAGATACAACATTTTGTTAATGAGTTAGCAAATGTTTATTTTTTTTATATTTTATATTGTGTCATATTGTAACTATGTAATTAAGGAAATTACATCATTATAGTCAGTATGTTATGATTGTCTTTGGTATCAGTCTTTGGTATCAGAACAAATTCTTTTCATTCATTTTTATATACATCTTATCTGCCAGTTATTAAGATATGATACAGAGAATGGAGATGGTATTGTATATGTAAATATAAATATAAGCTGTGGTTTATTAGCTCTACATTTAGGGCCTGCATTTTGATGGCTTTAATTAATGTAATGGTGCTGATAGGGCCATAATATCAGTATCTTCGATGCAGTAGATACCAAAACAATCAGCTTCTTTATTAAGAGGTGAGTTTGTTTTATCGAAGCAAAGGATCTAGATTTCTCATTTAAGAGTGAAGACAAAGATATAATATGGCAAGAAAATTTGTTGTAATCCTACTTTAAAGATTTGAATGAAAAAAGGAAAGATTTTGAAAAGTACCTTGATATTTTCTTAAATATAACTTGTTTATCCACCAGCCTTTCTTCAATAACTATTAATGAAATGTATTGCAGCACATACTACCATATCTTATAAACCAGTGTGTGTTATTAAACAGTATTCTTTTTAAACAAATAAATTCATAATGTCTAAACCTGTTAATGCCAGGAAGGCATGTGTACATGCATTATTTGTTGAGGTTTTGTTTTGATGATTTTGATTACACATAGGGACTCCAGAAGTAGTTACTCAGAGTGAAGTCAATTACTGTGCTTCCTGACCTCATGTATTTAGCCCTATTTCTTGAATTTTTGGGAAGAGTATTTTTAAAATTCAGTACTGTTATTATTATTGGTAATATGATAATGATAAGTTTGATAAAGACAGTAAAAACAGTGAGAATGATAGTTTTTTCCATGAAATTTAAACAAATGGAGTAAGTACTTGTGAAGCCATTAAGGTGTAAACAAGACAAATAAAGCAAAACCAGTGGACACTTTTGGGGTAAGAAGGTTTGAGACTGTGAAAGCTCTCTTGAATACTGGTATTACATAGTCTTTCACTATTCAAAAGTAAAGATGTAGAGATACGTAATTTTCAGTTTTATCAGTATAATGATAGGAGATATATTTATGTGAAGTACTAAAGGTGTATGATCCCAAAAAATTATCATTGCAGATGCAGATCAGAGGAATTGTTTTTTAAGCATATTTTTAAACATTACTGTTATAGTTTTTAATTATTTCTCTCTTGTATGGAAAAGCAGAACTGAAAAAATATATGCTGGGTGATGCCTTCCTGCAAGCCACACACACCATGTAAATGTTTTAAAATGTTGATGAGAGACTATACACCTTGGTACTTGAGTAGGGGCACAGCTAGAAATTTAGGAGCCCTGGAGACTAGGTCCCTTGAGGTGCTGCCCTAGGCCTGGCTTTGTTGACAAGAATATACCTGACAAAATGATTGTTTACTTATTTGAACAAAGGCAAATGTTTATTTTTCTGCGAAAAAAAAAATCAACGAAAATAAAATAGAAACATGCAATTTACACTAATTTATATCATACATTTTTCAGTCATCTATTGAGCAATCTTAGTAGCAAAGTAATTAAGTGATTCAGAATTATATTTACAATATACTTTATTTTATTTACATGAATATTTTTGTTTATATTTTCTCTGTTGTCTCAGACATCATTTAGGGCCCCCCTCCACTAGGAACCCAGGGTTCTGTGAAAAATTGCCACCTCTTTAGGTACGTCACTGTGTTTGTATGTTTTTATTGCATATTTAGTGCTTTTGTTATCATTATCCATATTATTATAATTATTAATATTTCCTGAAATTAATATTATCAGTGTTTGTTTCTGTTTATGTGGTAAATGCTTTTTATTGGAATAAACATCACATGCTGTTTCCATTATCAGAAGAGTAACTTCTTGTAGTATCTGTCTATGTATGTATGTATGTATGTATATATGTATGTATGTATCTATCCATCTATATATATATTATATATATATAATATATATATATATATATATTATACATATATATATATACACACACACTTATATATATATATATATATATATATATATATATAATAAATATATATATTATAATAATATATACCATACACATATATATTAATTATATAAAATATATAATATATATATATTATATAATATATTATACACATATATATATATATTATATATATATATATATATATTATATATATATATTATATAATATATATATATACACAATATATGTATAATATATATATATATATATTATATATATATATATACACATATATAATATATATATATATATATATACACACATATATATATATATATATATATATATATATATATATATATATATATATTATATAATATATATATATATATTATACACACATATATATATATATAATATTATATATATACACATATATATATATATATTATATAACACTATATATATATATATTATATATATATATATATACACATATATATTAATATTATATA